AATACAGTGATAGGGAAACTAGTGTATTCCGAGTTCAGGCTCACTACTAAAAACATATTCTAAGAGTCAGTCTGTTTGTTCAAGTGATTATGATGTTGGCATAATATTAAACACTGCAGAAGAATCTAAAAAATATAGTCAAAACAGATTTAAGCCTTGGGCCAGTTTTTTATTCATTTATAGGCAAACTGATAATTAGGATCTCTATGAGGGATAATTTAGAACTTACATAAGTTGGTTCTTGGAGGCTAGAATTAAAGTACTTGAAAGCATAGAAGGAACTAGATGAGTTTAGAGTACTGGGTTTGGGAATTGGAAATTAGGTCTCCTGTGTACAAAGTTTAAAATGAATGGAGCCTATGGTCAGTTTGCTAGCTGTGGCTGTCAACCTGAGAAGAACCTAGAGGACAGACTAGAATAATGGAGAGGACAGGAGGACCGCGGCAGCTGCCTCATGGGAGATCCAGGCTCATCCCTCTTCTGCCTCCTCTGAGTATATTCTCAAAGATGAAATCACCACCTTACAAAGAGTGACAATTGCATGTTTACTGCAGCACTACTCATAATAGTCAAAGTTTGGAAATGTGAAAGAAAGTACCCAGAAAGAACTCCTGCATCTTGGACTGAATTTCCTGTAGGACTGACCAACTGATTAGTACTCTGGAGATTGTGGAGAGTCTGGAATGTTGCAGATCCAAAGCCTATTCACAAATCATCTGGGGACGTCTTTAACCCCATAAATAGCCACACTTTGCCTGCTTCTGTTTCTGAATTAACATTCTTGTAACTAATAAAATGTATTAACAGCAGACCACCAGGCCCACCAATCAGAAATCTAAGAATGTCATCAGATAGCATCTGAGACCTATAGTAGAACCCTACCACCACCACCACTTTGCTATGACCTGCCTACTGAATGTATCTGCCAATGTATTTGAAAAGTGTCTTGATTTATGACTTTTCTTTGTTCTGTTACTATAACAACGTAATATAACTGTTACCACACTGGAACATGGAATTTGGGGTAACCTAAATCTGTGTTCCCGGGCCATGGTCACTCATAAACTATCTCTTATCCCCTTTGAGGTGAGAGTTATGCTTTTGTGTTGACAGAAACGACCTAAACGTCCATTCACAGGTGAATGCACCATAGGGGATCTACCTTCTTATGACCTCAGTCCGTGTGGTCATAACCTCCGTTTTGCCTGCCAGGTGACCCTGGTATGCATCCTAAACCATAAAGGACAAAGTTAGTAAGATAGTTAGATAAGTCTGACATGCCAGCCACTGACATCCCCTTTTTTAACTTATGTGGGACATGTTAATAGTTTTGAAAGTGGCTAAGTACATCTCTGTGGGAGTTGGCCCACCTATCTCAATTAGAATACGGATCCCTTCCTCCTTGGAGTATGGGGATTAGCCTATTACTATTACCTAAAACACACTTTCTGTTCATAAAGTCCCAATAAATTGCACTTTTTACAGTCCTAGATCTGTATGCTTCTTCTCTTTGATCTCTCAGCCCTGTCCACCTTCAGTGACTGATTCTCATACACCAAATTAAGGTTTTCAGAAACAAGATAAAGGGATGAGAGAGGGCTGGAAAGATGGCTCAGTAGATAACAGCACTGGCTGCTCTTGAAGAGGATGTGGGTTTGGTTCCCAGCAAAAACATGTGACACTCAACTGTCTGGAACTCTAGTTCCAGGTGGTCCAATATCCTCTTCTGATCTCTGTAGGCACTACATGCATGTGGAGCACTTATAGGCAGGCAGTACACACAACACACATTTTTAAAAAATGTAAATTCCACCAAAAAATTAAAAGAAACAAGGTAAAGGGCTGGGAAGACAGTTTGGGTAATAAAGCGCATGCCTTGTAAACATGAGGATCTAAGTTCAGTTCCCAGAATTCACATTTAAAAAGCCAGGTCTGGGGCTGGAGAGATGGCTCAGCAGTTAAGAACTTTGCAGAGGACCTGGGTTTGGCTCCCAACACCCACTTGGTGGCTAACAGCCATAGTAACACTGGTTCCAGGGGATCTGACGCCCTCTTCTGGCCTTCATGGGCATTGCACACATGAGTGCACTTACACACATACAGGCAAACCACTCATACACATAAAATAAAAATTAATTAATTAAAAATCCTAACATTAAAAAGGTAGGTGTGGTGGGACATACCTCGGTTTCAGCATTAGGGGGCTAAGACAGGAGAATCCCTGGGGCTAACTGACCAGCCAGGCTAGCCTACTTGGTGAGTCCCGGGTCAGTGAGAAGAATGTCTGAGGAAAATAAAAGAGGTGGATATGCCCGAGGAACACCCAAGGTTGACCTCTGGCCTCTACACTCATGTGCATACACATGCACACACCCACCCTCACACATACACATACATACATACAACAGGATGAAATGTGGTATGTATATACAATGGAATATTATTATAACTTAAAAACCTTGAAGTATGAGATATTTATTGTTCTTTGGGACAGCATGGTGCAATCTGGAAGACATTATGTTTAAACCAACCACAAAGAAAAAGAATGCATGATCTGAACATATATGTAATATCATATAAAAATAAAGAGCTCAAATACACAGAACTAGAAAATTAAAAAGTCGTTGCTGTGGTTGAGAAGGGCAGAGAGGGAGATGGAGGTCAAAGGATACGAAACAGCAGGCAGCACCGGCAGGCTTAGCGAGTCAATTCACATGTGGGCTAAGATTGTTAAGACTGTATTGCAGTAAGAATGCTTGCTTAGTGTAGGGCGTGGTGGTGGACGCCTTTAGTCCCAGTACTTGGGAGCCAGAGGAAGGAGATCTCTGTGAGCCTGTGAGTTCTGGGCCAGCCTGGTCTATAAAGCAAGTTCCAGGCCAGCTGGGGCTACAGGGGGAACCTGTCTCAAAAAGACAAAAAAAAAAAAAAAAAAAAAAAAAATGCTTGTTTAATAAGCAGGTTTTAGTTGCATTTGTTACACATCAAAAGTAGCTAGGTGACAGGAGTTACCTCTTCACTACAGAGCCATCCAAGTATCACATGACATCATGTTGTAAACCTCAAATACACAAGAAGATTGACTGCGGTGTGGGGGTGACAGGAGAGAGGAAGGCTGGGGTAAAACATCAGCACTTAGGACAGAGATGAGGTGGGAGGAGGGAGACGCCTTTTCTAAGGCAGAACCAGTGCCATTTGCTGACAGCTGGGTGATGCGGTGAGAGGGGGAGAATGCTCTTGGTTGGGAGTCACTATGAATTTCATGAATGCAAGAAGAAGGTATTTGGGGAGGTTGGAAATGATAGGCTCAAGTTCAGTAAGCTGCATTTGAAACCTGCAGGGTTTCTAAGAAGAGGTGACCAGCAGACAATTGCAAATGGAGGCTGTGAGTGTTATGTGCTGAAAATCACACTATAAAGCTCAAAACACCCAGAGTCTTCCTGTAGGAACACTGAGAGTCACCATAGGAAGCCAGCAGCCCTGGGGTTCATTTGGAAGACTGTCAAAATCAGGGCTGGAGAGATGGCTCAGTGGTCCTCTTGCAGAGGACCTGGGTTCAGTTCCCAGCACACACACGGCAGTTAACCATTCATTACTCCAGTTCTGGGGGACCTGGTGCCCTCTTCTGGCTGTCATGGTCATTGCGTGGATGTGGTGCACGTATGTACATGGAGGCAAAACACTCAGACCCATGAAATTAAGAAAAAACTTTTCAAATCAACTGATCTGCTTAATGTGTGATATTGATATGTATAGAACAGCAAAAGCTACAAATCTACACATATATAACACTTGCTGGGGCCCACCTCATTCCTGCTGAGAAGCCCAGGGTGTTTTCTAAGCAGTGTGTTATGAGATGCATGAAGCCTTGACTCAGAGTAGGTTTGCATCCGAGCCTGGTTTATTATTGGGTGAATTAGAGTTCATAAATGGCTTCACTGCTACAAACCTGAGTTTCTTCACTCTTGGAGGATAGCATAAAAGCCCTGAGAATTGTCACAGTGAGGCAATCAATGCAGTGGCCCAGCATAGGATGTCCTGGGTTTGAATTCCACTATTTCTGTACAGCCTGGACTAAGTTTCTTTACCAGGGCTCCAGTTTCTTCACGGATAAAAGAGTGCTACCACATAGGATTATTGTGAGGATTTAATGCATTTACTCACCTGAAGCACCTAGAACAACAGCGCATTCCAAGGTGCTGAATATACCATTGGCCACTACCACGTGCAGTCATTCAATGTAAAGAATTTACATTGTACCATCCTCACTGTCTCACTTGGTGATACTTATCACCTCAGGCAGATAAGTTGGAGATAGCTGGCTGAAAAGTCCATTCTCAACAACTCAGAAATGTCCCACTCTCTATAACATAGGAGAGTCCTGACATACATGCAATAAATCCCACAGCCATTAGTGTATAGGTGAAATAAGCAACTGCTTCCTTATGTGCAAACCTGTGCTTGGGAAAGATGCAAGGAAGACTGTACCTCCTCAGCAGGAGAGTCTAAATAAACTCTTACTCAGAGGGCAGAGTCTGGATGCTTAAAACGGAATCAGGGTTGCCTCCCCTCTAAGATTCAGCAACTTCCCTCAGCATTTCCTACAAATGTTCACTTCAAGTGTTTTTTTAACCACTTTGTTCCCAAGAGACCTATGTTTTAGAGTTTCTAGACTTCAATTTTAACTTGTGAATTGGGAGTGCTACTGCAGTTTGGAATAGAGAGAAAGGTTTCCAAGCAGCAAGAGAGGCGTTGACATGGGGACGACAGCTGGCACGATATGAAAATCCGAGACACAGATTTGAAGTCAACCATGGCATCTTTTTCTCTCAAAGCTTGTTAATAAAATCATTTGTAAAACTGTCCAGTGTTATTAGAAATCTTGGTTATATGCTTTAGAAGTCATTCTGAGAATACGTTTTTGGTGGGATATGCAAACACAAGACTACCACCTTCTCAAATTGATTATATTCCTTAATTACACAAATCATTATTTCCACAGAACCTCAGGGGCAATGTCAATCACCACAAATTTTGCTGTGAGTGAAACTTTGGTTGAACTTTTGGGGCTTTTCTGTTGTACCACTTCAAGGAGCTTCAGATTCTCTGCTGTATGAAATCTGAAAATTGTTTAACAAAAAGGAAAAATGAGATAGCATTTCATTCATTCCCAGAAACCAGAGGTCATTAATTTTCCACAAACAAGGAAAATTCCAACTTGTTCCATGAATCTTTCTCCGATCAATGCTCTTGGTTGTTAGCAAATCCTGTCCCTCCACATAGGTGCCAAGGAAAGATTGCCCGTGCAGCTCTCTTTACCTGGCCACCACCGCTTTGATACGGCAGGGCTTTGCCACCCTGCGTTTGCAGCTCTGAGTCCACTCCTGGCCATGTTGTTAAATGATGTTGCTTTCATGTGGGGAGAAAGACTATATGTGTGTGTGTGTGTGTGTGTGTGTGTGTGTATGCACATGTATGAGCAGATGTGTCCACATGTGCACATGTGCAGGCCAGAGGTTGGTGCAGACTGTTTCCTCTGTCACTCTATCACTCTCCTCCTCACTTTTTGAGATGGGGATGATGGCTAGGTATCTGAACTCAGGTTCCCATGCTCACACAGCAAGCACTGGACCCTCAGAGCCATCTCCCCAGCTCCAAATAATGCTGCTTCGATGTTTTTAAAGCATTATAATTATCATTTATCAGAAAAAAATAAAAGCAATCATTACTTACTTGGTTCTCTGCGCCAGGCCTTTCCTCTGCCAAAGCATTTGTTTTCAGTGAGATGGCCCAGTGACCAGGGCCATTCACGCTGGCCAGCGCTTCACTCTTTCTGCAGAGAGAAAAGAACAATCCCAGCATCTAGGTGAAGGTGCAAGTCAGGGACCACAGAAATTGTTATCAGGTTCTCAAAAGCTCCAGGCCACCCTTGGGGAAAAAAAGGCTTGCAGTCATAGCAAAAGAATGATTGTATTGTAGCTGCCATTGGCTGGCACTCAGGAGGAGAGGCAGGGCTGGCCGCTTTGCTTCTGAAGATGATGAACTGGATGAAATACCCTGCAGTAGCTGAAAAGTTATTCCCCCAACCATTTCCTTTGACAGATGAGGATCAGAACAAAGGGAGGGTAGGTGAGTGCAGGTCACAGGCCACTGGAACCTGCTGCAGGGCTCCAGAATTGGTACTACAGCTCTCCTTTCCTACATTTTACTTGGGGGGGGGGTTGCTTGTTTGTTTCCTTGCTTGTTTTGGTTTTTTGAGACAGGGTCTCCCTGTACCCCCAGCAGGCCGACCTCCTTCTCACAGAGATCCACCTGCCTATGCCTCCCGAGTGCTAGGATTAAAGGCATGTGCCACCACACTGGGCAAGGGGTGGGGTGTTTTTGAGAAAGGGTCTTGCCACATAGCCCAGGCTGGTCTAGAACTCACAGTCCACCTCAGATTTGAGAATCGTTAGGGAATACTGCAGTAGTGATACACAGTGACTGTTTGGATCCCCTCCAAATTCACATAATGAAATCTGATGTAAGAGTATTTGGAAAAAAGAAAGGGTATTTGGAGGTGGGTCTTTGGGAGGTGATTCGGTCATGAGGGAAGACCCTCATAAATGGATTAATGCCTTATATTGAAAAAAAAAAAACCAGAGAGCTCCTTTGTAATAGTCATGGTTCTCCAGAGGACCTGAACTGATAAGAGTAAATATATGTTATGCCATGGGATTGATTAGATTGCCTTACATGATCGGGGCTGGGGAGTCCAGGAACGGCTGTCTTCTTACTGGAAAGGCTGAGGGTCCAGCATCTGCTCAGTCCATGAATCCATGAGGCCTCAGCAATTCCAGTCTGGCAGGGAAGGCCCGGGGGATTTCTGGAGAGGTGCTGGTCTTCAGTCGATGTTGGAAGGCTGAAGCTGGGTTCGGAGGACAGTGAAGGACGCAGCGCAGCCACAGCAGCTGCAACAATGAGATAGATATACCAGCAAGAAGCACAGTCAGGCAGGCAAATGGCACCCGTTTTTTTCCCCAGGATCTCTATCTGGGCTGCAAATTCTCATCAGAAAGTGCTGTCCACTCCAGGGGAAGGTCTTTCCCCTCAGTCACCACTCCCTGCAAATGCCCTCCCAGACCTTCCCAGGGGCATTTCTCTTAGCAGACTCCAGATTCAGTCAAGTCAAAATCAAGATGAACTATCCCACTCTTCAACTATGGGAGGTTACAATAAAAAGGAGCCACCTACGAGTCAAACAGCAAGTACTCATCAAACACAGAATCTGCTAGTGCCCTGACCTGGGGTTTCCCAGCTCCGGGGGAACTTTTGGTGTCCTGTTGTAGCAGCCTAAATGGACTAGGAAAAGTCATCCATCCCGAAGAAAAGCAAGTATAAATGTCCATACCTCAGGCCTTAGGCTGTACATTACACACAAATGTCATTTTTGAAAAATGTATTGTGACAGTACTGCATTTGAACTATAATTAGCCTTTCATTAGACACAACATGGAAATGCGAACTAAAAGTTAAGCCCAGTTGAACCATCTTCCTCCTGCTCTACCCCCTAAGCCAAACCTCCTCTTCATCTTCTTTCTCTCCTGCAACCATTCTTCAAGTTTCTGCATGTTTTGTGTTGTCTGCCTGGAATTCTTTCTTCACAAATGTATTCATACTTCAAGTTACTGGGTTTCTGTGTGTAACCTTCCTCATCCTTTTCATATATATATATATATAGAGAGAGAGAGAGAGAGAGAAAGAGAGAGAGAGAGAAAGAGAGAGAGAGGTAAAAATTTTATAACTTTCTTAGCTTTTGGACTGGTGGAAACTAGTGGTCTGCTGAGTAATACATTCCACAAGTTTTACCTAATAGTAAAGATGTTACATTAGATAACGAGGTAGGTAATGAATGACTATTAAAAGACAATTTTATGTCTTACAGGGTTTATACTGAACTCAATATTGTATAACTGTATTAATTGAACTGTGAACCTAAAAATTTTATAGCCACTTTTGAAAGAGATGTATCTTTGCTCTGGAAATTTGAGTATGTTAAAGCTGTAATGAAATGCTTCTTCTTCTAAAAAAAAAAAAAAATAGCCCCAAATAATTTTGGCTTTAGATCAGCAATGCCTTTCCACAGACAGGAAGTTCTAACTAGTCTGTACAATGTTTGACACAGATGCAATTTTTTAATCAGGAAATGCTAATTCAGAAAGCAGTGTGGTACACACAGGTTAACTATTATTTCCATTAGGGGACAGATGACTTGTCTCTGAATGGTGAGTGTAGACGTGCTTTTATGCACATTTACAAGTAGATAAAATTTCTGAATCATTAAGGCACAGTGGTAGTTATTCGCAGATTGGCCTATTTGGTCCAGTCTTCCACTGCAGGTGCAGGCGGGCCTTCTCTCTGTTTCTAATGCTATGAGTTACTCCCCAAAGGGAGACATCATCACCTGCTTAAAGCTGAAACCGTAACAAGGCCGCCCCGCTCTCTCTGCCTTTCTGGGCCTGTGCTTGGCGGCTCTCCAGACCCAGGTCTGCGGGCGGTTCGCGGTGGAAGCGCCCAGGGCTCCAGCGCCGCCCCTCCGCGGTCCTAGTGGGTGCACGCCAGTGGGCGGGGCTTGCCTGACGTCACGGGCCCCGCCCCCCGGGGTGGCCTGGCCCGGCTTCGCGGTCGCCTTCCCACTGCCCCGCAGCCGCACCATGGCTTTCGTGACCAGGCAGTTCGTGCGCTCCGTGTCCTCCTCGTCCTCCGCGTCTGCCACGGCGAAGAAGATCCTCATCAAGCACGTGACGGTCATCGGCGGCGGGCTGATGGGCGCGGGCATCGCACAGGTGAGCCTGGGGGGCCCGCTCGCAGGCCGCGCACGCGCCCCGGGCCGCAGCCAGCTGGTCCCCGCCTCCACCGAGGGTCGGGAGCCTAGTGGGCGCGGCAGGCGCGCTGCCCGGGTTCAGTGCCCGGCCCGGTCCTCCTTGATGCGCTTTCGTGTCAGCCGGGAAGGCTGGACGGGCCGTGCTGGCGCGTGAACTTTGGAGCCTGGCGGGCCGAGCTCTGCTTTGCACAAACTTGGGGCACAGCGTGTTTGCTCGCCGCCGGGCCCAGATGGCGTTGCTTGCGAGGCCTGGACTGCAGCGCTTTCATTTTCCTTGTCTGTGGTTGTCTGAGCACGCTTCTTTTTGTCGCCGCTCTCCCTGGCGTTTCCTTCTAACCTTTTGGAAAGCCACCTAGTGGGAATTTTGGAGGCCCCCGAGACCACCCAGGGCAGCGCCAGGCAACTTTGGCCTTTGACCTAGTGCCCTGGGTGCTGAAATCTGAGTACCGGAGTGTGGGAGAGGGAGGAAAACAGAGGGCTCTGGGTAGTCTCTTATCAGCTTCTTTAAGACGGCCTGGTGCCAGCTGAGTTTAGGGTCAGTTGTGCCGTTGGATACTGTACTGCTGGTCCTGTGTTTTTGCTTGGTTTTTCACAGTCACAGTTCCACACACTGGAGAACCATGCCTTCTCTGTTCTCTTTTATATCCTTAGCTTTTCAGGCCTTTGCAACTGGATATTGAGGGGCGGTGGGGAGGGCAGTTGTACTCACTTACTTTTAACTGGGGATGATATCCTCAAGTAAGCCCTTCCCCAAACCCACACTCTCGTTTGCTTTAAACATTAAAAAATATATATTTTATTATTTTTATTTTATGTGTATGAGTGTATTGCCTGCATGTATGTGAGGGCACCCGTGTCGTGCAGTGCGACGGAGGTCGAAGAGGGCATTGGATTCCCCTGGAACTGGAGTTAAAGACGGTTTGTAGCCACCATGTGGGTGCTGGGAATCGAACCCAGGTCCTCTGCAAGAGCAGTCACTGCTCTTAACTGCTGAACCATCTCTCCAACCCCACTTTAAAGATCTTATGTTCACTCGATTGCTTTTTTTCCTAAAATCTTTTTTTTTTTTCCTTTGACATACATTGTCCTTCTTCTGTGGACTTTCAGGCTGATAGGTTATCATTTCCTCATAAGCTAGAGGACACCCTAGGCCCTGGATGAGGGAGTAAGTCCCTTCCACTAGAATGCTTTACTGACTAAATGGGAGAAAGTACATTTCCAGTACACCTGTATCAGCTTCTTAAGGCTGTGAGGGTGAGATTGGGCCCCCAAACAACAATGCACAAGTTAAACATTTAAGCAACGTTTTAGTAACAAAACAACAGGACTTTGTGTCTCCAGCAACAATAAGGAAAGGATCCTGAAATTCCCTGACAACAGCAAGGTAGGGGGCTAGAGACTAAGTAGAAAGCATCACTCAGGTTTTGTACAAACCTGGGCTGCCTTGTTCTTTGAGTGCTGCATCCATCATTGGTCAAAAAAGGTGTTGTGTAAGAATGCACTGAGGCTGTACTTGAAACTATGGGTGAGGTCTTAGAGCTGTTGCTTGAGAAAACCTCAGGCTAACATGGATGAGGAACATAGACTTGTGGATTAAATACCTGAGTAGCTGGACCAGGGAGTGCTTTTGGAAACTTAAGGGGTAAAAGGAAAAACTATGTACCTCCTAGATTGGAAACATAACAGAACTGTCGTTCCAAAGAGTAACAAAACCCAAAGTCTAAATAGTGGGCATTAGTGAGGAATGCAGGTCCATCCCTTGCACAGCAGTTGGAGACCGGCTCAGCCACTTCCAGCAACAAGTCTGATCCCACATGGGAACTTTGCCTTGCTTTCAGTGGTTTAACTGGTTTGCCACACTCAGCCTCGTAGCACTTCTTGATAGTCTTGTCTCATTTCTCTTTGAAAAACTCCAATGGACACTTTGATAAGACTGATTACAGTCTTTTGCCTCTGTTACCACTGACTCATTTTTTTAAAAATTGCATTTCTTTATTTACTTTTATGTGTATGAGTGTTTGTCTACATGTATTTAAATTTACCACATGTATACAGACCCGTGGAGGCCAGAAGAGGGCATCAAATCCCCTAGAACCGGAGTTACAGATGGTTGTTAGCCACTATGTGGGTGCTGGGAACTGAACCCGGGTCCTCCGAAAGAGCAGCCCCTGCTCTTAACCACTGGACCATCTCTCCAGCCCATCATCCACCAATATGTAGAGTACAGGGAATTGGGTGGTATGTGTGCTGATTCTGTTCTCTGATGATATGAGACAATTTATCTCTGTGCCTCAGTTTCTCTAAAGGAAGCCTAGTACTATACTAGCTTTTTAGGCATTTGAAGCAGAAGCAAACTAGTAGACACCCAGTTCTTGTGCTAAGAACTTTGAGCTACTTTTTGATTGTATCATCAGTTCAGTCGTCCTGTCCTGCTGTCCTTCTAACCCATGTCTGCTTTCATTTCTGACCTTCGCTGTTGAGATAGGTGCGTTGTGTTTAGGTAGAGATTATCAATCCCACTTTCCTGTTCCATCTTGCTTAGTCTTGACAGCAAATTACAGCCAATACTGCAGTTTGCTCAGGGAGGAGGAAAGCACCTTTAATTCTATTATTCCGCCTTAGTGAAGCCATAAAAGTACAAACAGAGTAGCTCTAGGTGATCATACTGCATCATATTTGGCCCTATGTCTCCTGTTGCCTTATGAAGTGGTTTTAGTCAAGCAGTTCTGCTTACAGTTTTAGCTGATTGATTAATTAATCAACATGTGTTCTAGTTTGTGCTGAGCAGGATAAAACAATGTAAATAGATTTTGCAGGTGTCTGATACATTTCTCATACAGTTAACTAATTTTAGACAAGTGAGGTCTAGGCAAAGTTACCTTTGGCCAGAGCACAGGCCATTAGCACATGCGTACTTTCTAGGAGTGTCTACATTGCCTACCATATTTTGTTTGTTTTAAATTTAAGAAAAAAAATCGGTTAGACTGCAGGTTAATATTTAAGTACATTGACTTGTTTTTATGTGTTTGCCTGTTATATACTTCGGACTTGATTCTGACTACCAATTTATCTTCAATTGGATACTTAGGTCAGCCAAGACACTTGTAGGTTAAATGAACTGTGTTTGAGTGGGGACAGGTTGCTTTTTGCTTTGTAAAGGAGGAAAGAGGGAGGAAGGAAGCTGCTAGCTGTGTGTGTCTCAGGTTGATAAAATGAGTCCTTTCTAAGCTTTGCTTAGCTTTCTTGTAAGGAGTCCTGAAAGCTCATGGCTTTCATCACATGTCGCAGAGTAGCCACTGGGCTACCTAGGAATAGTGTTTAAGAGACTTTCTGAGGGTTGCTTTTGCAGAGGACCCAGGTCCGATTCCCAGCACCCACATGGCGGCTAACAACTATTTGTAACTACGGTTCTAGGGAATCCAACGCCCTGTTCTGACCTCTGTGGACATTGCACAACACATATGAACTTACATACATGCAAGCAATACATTCATATACATAAAAATAAAAAAGATAGATAAAAATTTAAAAACAGAATAAAAAAAACTTTCTGGTCCAACCTTTTCAGCACCTTTTACACTTTTGGGGAAAGGGAGAAAATTTGAGCTTGAAGGAGATTAGGAATAAGTTTGTCTCATCTCACCAAAACCCCCAAACTGTGTACTGTTTGTGTGTTTGTATGTGTCCTGGTTTTTTTTTTTTTTTTTTTTGCGGGGGGTATTTGTTTTGTTATTTGAGACAAGTCTCCCTGTAGTGCTGGCTGGCCTGAACCTCACTCTGTAGACCAGGCTGGCCTCCAGCACACAGAGATTCACCTGCTTCTGCTTCCTGAGTATTAGGATCAAAGGTGTGTGCCATCACACTCAACAGTGTATGTCCTTTTTATAAAGCCAAAAATGGGCTGGCTAGATGGCTCAGTGGATGGAGGTGTGCATATATAACGTAGCATTCTTACTGTGAGGTGGGAGATGAAGACAGGAGAATCACTTGGAGGCTCAAGGACCAGTTGACCTAGAGTGCACAGCGTGGCAGAGACCTTGCCTTATGGTAAGAGAGAATGAACTCCTGAAAGTTATCCTCTGACCTCCACATGCTGTGGTATATTTTATGTGTGCCCACACTCACACACATACTGTACATATACACATTAATTATAAAGCGAGAGATGTACATTACTTTGAGGACAGCTCTGTAAGTTATTATGGCTTCAGGAGGAACATTATAAGCTCCAGGTGAACATTTGCTGGACCCCTTTGTTCCTGTGTAGTGCTCAGTAAGGATTCAGACTGGGGAGCTTTTCCCTAGCCCCTGAATTTGTTCCCACCTCCTCTCACTGTCCCCACCCCCCAGTTTTCTGGTGCTTAATGGAAGAATAGTTGGTGTCGCTGTGTGGTTGCTAGCCTTATTCCTTTCTGTTGTTACGTTGAATACAACTCTGTTGAAGTTCGGTCACTGGAGACTGGTACAGTTCCGGGCTACAGGGCTCTCCTTTGTTCTTTGTGGAGGCAATATTTTTATTCACAGCTCCTTTTTACTTTTTTTTTTTTTTTTTTTTTTTTTTTTTGGTCTTTTTGAGAGGGTCCCCTTGTAGTCCCAGCAAGCCTGGAACTTGCTATGCAGACCAGGCTGGCCTTGAACTCATAAAGAGATCAGCCTGCCTCAGCTTCCTGAGTGCTGGGATCAAAGGCATGTGCCACCACACCCGGCTTTTTTTTCGTTATTTTTTTAAAGACAGGGTCTCACTATATAGTCCTAGCTGTCCTGGAACTCACTATGTAGATCAGGCTGGCCTTGAACTCACAGAGACCACCTGCTTCATCCTCTTGAGCACTGGGATTAAAGGCATGTGCCACCATTCCTGGTATACCTGTTCTCTGTACTCAGGGGCATGCCATGTCTGTCATGAGGTTCTTCCTGGTTTCTGAGTTGTGGCTTGGTTCTTTATTGGGCTGTTCTCTGTTC